TTCATTCCAAGCAAGTCTGTCAAAAGTCTTTTTCTACTGTAAAAGCTTTAATTTTTGTCTTTATTTTCATTGATACAATTAGATGTGCATATTTTAGGAGTAGATATGATAATCCAACACATTCACATGATCAAATCAGGGTAATTGGGATATTTGTCACCTTAAATATTGATCTTTTCTTGATTCTATGAGCATTAGGTTAATGGGTACAAATGTACAGTTAGATAAAAAGAATAAGACCTGCCTGGTCTTCAGTACATCATGGTGGCTATAGTTAACATTAACCAATTGTACATTTCAAAATGCTAGAAGAGAATAATTCCAACACCTTTTTTGTTTGCTTACTTTTTTCTGAATTCTAATAGACTGATACATCAGTCCCTGCTGTAGCCAAAATAATGACTTCCCCAAAATGCACTTCAAGAATGTGACCTCAATGGTTGTAACACACAGAACCTGCTCCTGGGGTTTGGGAAAGAAGCGGTGTTAGGCCTGCCACAATTGCTTCTCCTCCCAGGTGGTTCAGAGTCCTGGAGGACAGAATACCTTGGGAGCTTGAGTGGACTCCTTCCACCAGCCCAGCCTTCACTCAGACTCCAGCTCATAGCTCACAAGCTCCACCACCCAGGCCAAACTCCTCACATGCTTAGTTTTCTGTTTGTTTGTTTGCGTGTTTGTTTGAAAGAGTTTTGCTCTTGTTGCCCAGGCTGGAGTGCAATGGCACGATCTTGGCTCACTGCAACCTCTGCCTCCCGGGTTCAAGCAATTTTCCTGCATCAGCCTCTCGGGTAGCTGAGATTACAGGTGTTCACCACCGTGCCCGACTACTTTTTTTGTGTTTTTAGTAGAGACAGGGTCTCACCATGGTGGCCAGGCTGGTCTCAAACTCCTGACCTCAGGTGATCCGCCCGCCTCAGCCTCCTAAAGTGTTGGGATTACAGGCATGATCCACCATGCTCGGTCTAATGCTCAGGTTTTTATTTCCTGTATATGTCAAGTGAGGACAATAAGAATCACTTCAAAGTGTTGTTAGGAGCTAATGCATGTTGAGCATTTATAAGAATTTTTAGCACCCAGCAGACACTCTGAAACTTTTAGCTCATAATATTAGCATTGTTATAAAAATAACATTAATAAAAACGAATAACATTAGTATTGTGAGAAAGTCATAATAATATACATCAAAGGATATTAATAATACACAATGACTTTTCCACATGCCATTTGTATGGCCAGAAAGCCAGACACAACTCCTGGCTTCCTCCTGCGATTCAGACATTGCTTAGATGCAAACTTAACTCACGGAACCACTTAATAGGTTCGTCACTCTAAGCAAAGACTAGCGTTCAAGAAATGTTCTCAGGTGATTTAAAACACAGTTCAGAATACAGTTATGGGATTTCAAATGCTTGCAATACAAGGCCTGCCTCTGTGTTAAGCTCCTAGAGAGAATTTTTATAATAGATGCAGTTTTTCCTATTAGCAATGGAACATACACATTTGAAACCCATCTGGCAGCCTCTATTATTATAGGCTAAATCTCGTAAACAAAACTTAAATGTAAAGAAGTGTTTGTACTAGCTGCAAACGGGGTACTGGTTTGATGCCACAGGGTAAGTTGCCAGCAGGTGACATCAGAGTATGGATTAGTTAGGGTAACATTGTGAACCGAGAGACAGAAGTGATCTTGGCACTCACTGAAGGCGAGACTCCTCTGGAGAGTTGCTTCCTCCCCAAGATCTGCATCTTTCCCTGGACTGAGTCAGGATCTCCAAGGTTAGGACCTAGCTATGTATATTTTGCACAAAGAATTCTGATTTGGACTCCAGGATTTAGAACCACAAATGTGCATAGAGACCCAATTTTGTATATGGAAGGTGGGGACAGATAGATAAAGTAACTTGCCAGCAGTCACTCATCTCACTAGTGTCACTGCTAGAAGTAGAACCTGTGGACTTTTGGTCCCTGGTCTGCAGCAGTTTCTATAACACTAGTGGGTATGAAACAACATAAAACACCAAGAACTGAGTTCTCGGAGGTGTGCAGCCCAGCACAACTGAGCCTTTGGGTGGGAGTGGAGAGCAGCCAGCAAGAAAGGCCTGCGGTGGGGCTCTGCATCTCAGTTTTAGGAGGGAACCCCCACTGTCAGATGGTTCAGGTGATGGTGGCCATGTGGGAGTGTGGTGGTGGCTGGGGAAGATGACAAAGGCAATTCACTTACGATAGCTGCTAAGGAGAGCAGTTGACACAACCCTGCTGCCATTTTTGACTCTTTCTTGATGGATTGAGGATATGGGGATATAACTGCAGCCACCAGCATGGAGCTTTCCTAGATTCTTAAACTTCCAGGTTATTAAGGACATAAAGAGATCTTCATGCATTCTAATGTCCTAATTTCACAGGAGAAGAGAGAGTCTCAGGGAAGGCAGGTGGCTTGTTCAGTTTCAATCAGCCAGCAACTGGCAGAGCTGAAATTAGAACTCAAGTCTCAGGGCTCCAGTTCTGTAACTCATCCATCCCACAAAACAATTCTAAAGGCATGTGTCCATGTGGCCTGGGCATGGCTTGTAGTCACTGCCATAGGTAGAGATGGATGAGACCCACTGCCCCTAAGGCACGCAGTCCTATTGGCTCCTTTCTGCAGCAGTCCCTGGACCACCAGGTTCAGAAACACCTGGGTCTGTGCTCACATGCAAAGTACTGGATCTGCCCCAGATTTACCGATGCCGATCCTCTGCAGGTGAGGCCAGGGAAACTGGCTCAGCAGGTGATACCTGGGTACTCCAACATCTGGGAAACCCCCAGATAAGACCTCAAAGTTCTGGGATATTGTGGGGGCTCTGTTGAAGAACAGAAGGTGTAACATACAAGAAAAACAGACCTAAATGTGACATCAATTATTTCACTGAAGAATCATCAGTTGAGTGCCTACTGGCTTCCAGTGCCCACTGTTCACTATGCTGGGAGCACAAGTCCACAAGCCAACCACATTCCAGCTGTGAAGGAGTGCATCTGGAAAGTCACAGAAGGCCCTGGATGCCTGGTGCCTGGGCTAGGGTGTGTGCCAGGGCAAGAAGGGAGTGGATGTCAGAGAAGAACAACTCTTGACAGTGCCCAGGAAGGGCAGCTGCTCCACAGAAGCAGTGCTCGTGGAGCCATGTTGCCATGGATACAAACAGTGTCTGGTTACTTATGGGAACACTATTGTTAGGATGGTTCTGAAATGCCTTCGTCCTGACGGTGGAGACCTCCCCAGACCAAATTACTCTTGGCTGAGGTGGTTAACCCTCTACTCATATGATGTCTTGGGGCAACAGTGCAACTTCAAAACACATTAAATAATACCACACTATGGAGACAATAAAAAGACTGGTGGTTGTCAGGGGCTGAGGGAGCAGGGGGATGAAGGAATAAGCATCAGTGGGGCAGAGAGGACTTTAGGGCAGTGAAACTCATCTGTATAATACTCAAATGGTGGATTCATGTCATTACACATTTGTCCAAACGCCTGGAATGCACAACACCCAGAGCGAACCCTCGTGTCAACTATGAACTCATCGTGATGATAGCGTGTCAGTGTAGGATCATCAATTATAAAATGTGTACCACTCTGGGAAGATATGTTGATAATGAGGGAGACAGGGCATATTTGTTGGAGGGGCAGGAAGAATATGGAAAATCCCTGTACCTTCCACTCAGTTTTGCTCTGAACCTAAAACTGCACTATAAAACTAATTTTTTTTTGACAGCTCTGTCATTCAGGCTGGAGTGCAGTGGTGCAATCATGGCTTACTTAAACTCCACCTCCTAGGCTCAATAGATCCTCCCACTTCAGCCTCCCAAGTAGCTGGGACTACAGGCATGTGCCACCACACCTGGCTATTTTTTTAAGTTTTTAGAGATGGAGTCTCACTCTGTTGCCCAATCTGATCTTGAAATCTTGGCCTCAAATGATCCTACCACTTTGGTCCTCAAAGTGTTGAGATTATAGGCATGACCCATGGTGCCTGACCTTAAAAAGTCTTTCAAAGAAAGATTAAACATTTCTAAACTGTTTTTAAAAATACGTCGTGTCACAGTGTATAAAAGTTATACTATCAAAAGTGAACTTTGGGTAAATGAAGGCTGCCGGATTGACTAGAAATCAGAAGGGGTTTGGGCTTTAAGTTTGTCACTGAATCTGGTAAACTCAGAGAAATCACTGCCTCTCTCTAAGCCTCTAGTCATCAGGATTAGGAAGGAGAGAGGTGGGCTGCTAGAATTCCTTCTTCAAGCTCTGATGTTCCAGGACAAGAATAATTGCTGATGAGAAAAAAAAAAAATCAGAATCTCACAGTCTGCAAAAGCAGAACAGCACAGTTTCCACAAAACCATAAAAACATACTTTTTGGAACATAACAGTCAAGCACATGCAACAGCTTAGGGTCCGTAACTCAGCATATGTAAAGTTCGTAAATTAATGTAATAGGAGGCAGGGTAACATCTGTTCTGTAGTACCCAACAGAGGGGATTTGGATATTTGAGAAGAGGCTCTGCACATAGTAAAGTCAGCCTAGGAACATGTGAGCAGTATTTACAGTGAAAAGGTCCCCATCTCTAAGTATACACATCTGCTCCAAGACAGCTGAGGCTGGGGGCACAGACTCCACTGAAGGGAAAGCCCCTCCCAGGGAAGCGGCTTGCTAAGAAATCAGAATGGAGCCATCTGCCCTTCCCACTGCGTGAGCTCCACCAGCCACCTATTCGTGCTCACCAGCCGGCAGCCTACCCTGGCCCTGGCACATGCCTGCCCCCAGTGGGCAGGGCCATGACAAAGCCACTGCTGGTTACCATTAGGGGTCAAGTCCCACAGGGGGTTTATTGAAGAACGTTTGCTTAATTTTAGATCAAAGCAGTACTTTCTTCTCCCTCTGGAATAAACAAACAAACAAATAGTATCTTGGAGCAATGAAGAACATAATCAAGTTTATGTATGGGCCACTAAGAAACTGAATAGTTACCTCCTACTTAAAAGGGTATCCTGGGCCACTGTGAAGTGGTCCTTTTTATCCTGTGGTCTGCAGTGGAAATGGCAGCATTACTGGAGAAGAGCTGTAAAAACATGCACAGTGAGTTGCTGCTGCATCCTGATTGCCCAAGAGAGGGAAGGAAGAGGAGATGAGAAGGGTTGAATCGGTTCTCTGACATGCCAGAGAGATAAAGGGGTGCCTCCCAAAGCTCTGAGGGCTTTTAAAAACTGGATGTCCACTGATATTTCAAAACAGTGCTGGGTGTCCATAATTCCAAAGGCAGTTTACAGGGGTCCAGAGTTGAAATCTGTGCTCTCAGATGCCACAGATGAGTCTTTTCAGCAGGCTTGGCAAACATCTTCACAGCCACCATGACACGTGGTAGGATTCAGGGACCCCAAAAGGAAAGAGCTAAGTTTTGAGGCTGAAGACCAAATTGGTTAAAAATATGGTCACTCTCAGGGTCAGTAAGAGAGAATTAAGTAAAAAAAAAAATCATTGAATACAGGGAGCAAATAAGTAGACATAACACGGAATGGCGCAGGCCGCCAGGCAATCCTAAGGCAGATGTAGACTTATCTTCAAGTGGCTTCCTCCAGCCTGACACCTGAAGAAGTGCTACTTCTTCTCATTTACTCTTTCTCCTGTTTATCAAAAGAGAAGAAAAGAAGAAAAAGAAAATGTTAGTAGTTGACTATGTGTCAACACTATTCTGGGCATTTCCCTAAGTTATGTAATTGAATATTCACAACTCCCTCTGATGTGTAGATTTTAATATAATTATTTTCATTTTACCAATAAATTCTGGTAAAATATAAGCTATGAAATACATCCAGAGATACTATGTGATGTTCTCAAAGACAAACAGCTAATAGGCAGCAAGCCCAGGCTTTAAGCAAGTTCTATCTGAAAACCTTTTCTCTCTTCCCTAAGGCATACTAAATTGATGTTTGAGGTTCCCATTTATCTTGTTTCATGAAAGAATGGTCTAAGCCCATGGCATCTTCCCTATCCAAAAGAAAGTAAACAGTCATGAGACCAAGATCCCCTGGGATCTCCCAGAAGGTAAGTCACAGCTCTGTATATTCCAAGCTCCAATGCTGCCAGTCCCAGAGATTGTGGGGTGGGGATTCTGTCTCTGAGCTCCACCTATTTAAGTCTTACCAGATTAAAGACCTGACTCTGATAAACTTGTGTCCATGACCTTTCTTTTTTTAAAAAAATGATTTTACTTTTTAGAACAGTTTTATATTTCAAAAATATAGAGAAGGAGCCCCATTGTGGAAAAGTGGTGAGCGAGAGATCCCTACTGGTTCACATTCCCACTGAGGACTCTTGCAACCCTAGCCATAGGTGAGCCCCTTGGCCCTCGTGGGCCCTTAGACTAGTATAGAAAGCTGCTTGCAGTCTATATGATGGCATTGTCTCAGGGAGAGAGTTTGCATTGGGTGCCAAACTCCCCCAAGACCCACGTAACTGCAACATGATGCCATTCTGAGAGCCCAGTCCACACCAGACTACATCCCACCCTGAGGACAAACAGCACCTGCCTTTCCACATACCTTAAGCCCCATTGACATTCCCCTACATCCACCCAGAGGGCTGCAGCATTGCAATGCTGGCTGGACACAATGGCGCAGCTGGAGCAACAGCACAGTGTCCTACTCTCTGGAAAATGGGTGGTGCAGCACTGCAGGAGGCTGCCTTGGGGACAAAGGAAGTGTGTACTCCCCAGAGTTTGAGAGTTAACTGCCAGGGACCACTGCCACTGACAGCAACACAGTATCCTCCAGTGGCAGGGTGGTCACATACCTGAATGTACCTTTAGCTGACTTGGATAGCAGCCCAGTCGCAAACCATCCACCACAGGCATCTGTGCAAGCCACATAGGAGCCATGGGTTGGCTCACCACCACCACTGCCACTACCAATGCCATGCACACCACCCAGGAGTCCAAGGTCTGGCACCCCCAACCCACCAATGACATCACTGGTGCCCAAGGACCAGGCCTCCTGGAGCCCTTGTCCCCAGGAAAGTCTTGCCACAGCCCCCAATGAGAACTGCCACCTAAGCCACTGAGGAATTCACAGACACCACTGATGTTGATTACAGTTAAAGAAATCATGCAGAGACCACACTTCTACACCCACCCAGAGTGCAAGTGAAAGGACCCTGCCCAGTGCACACTGTAGATATATCTTTGTAAAAAAAAGTCCTTATGAAAGATTTTCATCCAATCCATAACATTGGACAAAATGACTGGTACACCAGATGTGCAGATATCAACACAAAGACACAAAAAATAAAAAGCAAGAAAACATGACACCTCCAAAGAAACACAGTAATTCTCCAGTAACAGATCTCAAAGAAAAGGAAATCTATGAAATGCCTAAAAATACCAAAATAATGATATCAAAAATTAGTACAATAAAGAGAACATGGGTAAACACTACAAATAAATTGGAAAGAAAATTATAACTTGGATGAAAAGTTCAGCAGAGATAGAAATCATTTAAAAACACACACACAAAAATCCTGGAACTGAAGAATACAATAAACGAAAATTTTAAAAATACAGTCAAGAGCATCAAGCACAATACACTGCATCAAGCAGAAGAAATTTTTGAACTTGAAGACAAGTCTCTTGAAATAACTCAGTCAGACAAAAAAATAAAAATAAAAAAGAATAAAAAGAGTATGCAAGGCATATGGGATACCACAAAGTGGCCAAATACTTAAATTTTGGGTGTTCCAGAATAAGAAATGGGTAAAGGCATAGAGAACTTAAGAAAAAAAAAAGCAAAGTTATACTTTAAAAGTGAAAGGGAAATAAAGTTGTTCCTAAACAAGCAAAAAAAAAAGATAACTCATTCCCCCTAGACCAACCCTGCAAGAAAGGATGCTTAGGGGAGTCCTACATCTGGAAGCAAAAACACAAAATCTGCTGATATGGTTTGGCTGTACCTCCTCCCAATGCCCCCATCTCATCTTGAATTATAGCTCCCATAATTCCCACATGTTGTGGGAGGGACCCGGTGGGAGATTAACTGAATCATGGGGGTGGTTTCTCCCATACTGCTCTTGTGGTAGTCTCACCAGATCTGATGCTTTTATAAGGGATTTCCCCTTTCACTTGGTTCTCATTCTCTCTTGCCTGCTGCCATGTAATACATACATTTTGCCTTCTGTCAGGATTGTGAGGACTCCCCAGCCATGTAGAACTGTGAGCCCACTAAACTTCTTTTTCTTTATTAATTACCCAGTTTTGGGTACATCTTTATCAACAGTGTAAGAACAGACTAATACAGTAAATTGGTACTGGGAGTGGGGCACTGCTGTAAAGATACTCAAAAATGTGGAAAAGACTTTGGAACTATGTAATAGTCAGAGGTTGGTACAATGAGGAGGGTTCAGAAGAAGACAGGGATATGTGAGAAAGTTTGGAACTTCCTAGAGACTTGTTGAATGGCTTTGACCAAAATGTTGACAATGATACGGACAATGAAATCCAGGCGGAGGTGGTCTCACATGGAGATGAGGAACTTGTTGGGAACTGGAGTAAAGGTGACTCTTGTTATGTTTTAGCAAAGAAACTGGTTGCATTTTGCCTCTGCCCTAGAGACCTTTGGAACTTTGAACTTGAGGGAGATGATTTAGGGTATCTGACAGAAGAAATTTCTAAGCAGCAAAGCATTCAAGAGGTGACTTGGGTGCTGTTAAAAGAACTCAGTTTTAAAAACAGCAGAGCATAGTTTGGAAAACTTACAGCCTGATGATGCAAGGGAAAAGAAAAACCCATTTTCTAGGGAGAAATTCCAGCCTGCTACAGAAATTTGCATAGTAACAAGGAGCCAAATGTTAGTCACCAATACAATGGGGAAAATGTCTCCAGGGTATGTCAGAGACATCTGTGGCAGTCCCTCCCATCCAGGCCAAGGGGCCCCGTGCTCTGTGCAGTCTAGGGACTTGATGCTCTGTGTCCCAGCTGCTCCAGCCATGGCTAAAAGGGGCCGAGATACAGCTCAGGCTGTGGCTTCAGAGGGTTCAAGCCCCAAGCCCTCGCAGATTCCACATGGTGTTGAGCCTGTGAGTGCACAGAAGTCAAGAGCTGAGGTTTGAGAACCTCCACCAAGATTTCAGGAAACACCTGAATGCCCAGGAAGAACTTTGCTGCAGCAGTGGGGCCCTCATGGAGAACCTCTGCTAGGGCAGTGCAGAAGAGAAATGTGGGGTTGGTGCTCTCAGAGTGAGTCCCTACTGAAACACCACCTAGTGGAGCTGTGAGAAGACAGCCAATGTCTCCCAGACCCCAGAATGGTAAATCCACTGACAGTTTGCACCATGCACCTGGAAAAGTCACAGATACTCAATACCAGCCTGTGAAAACCACCAGGTGGGAGGCTATACCCTGCAAAGCCACAGGGGCAGAGCTGCCCAAGACCATTGAAACCCACCTCTTACATCAGTGTGACCTGGATGTGAGATATGGAGTCAAAGGAGATCATTTTGGAGCTTTTAGATTTAACTTTCCTGCTAGATTTTGGACTTGGGTGGGGCCTTAAGCTCCTTCGTTTTGGCCAGTTTCTCCCAATTAGAATGGGAGTATTTATCCAATTCATGTACTTCCATTGTATCTAGGAAGTAACTAACTTACTTTTGATTTTACAAGCTCATAGGCAGAAGGGACTTGCTTTCTCTCAGATGAGACTTTGGACTGTGGACTTTTGAGTTAATGCTGAAATGAGTTAAGATTCTAGAAGAATTTTGGAAAGGCATGATTGGTTTTGAAACGTGAGGACAAGAGATTTGGGTGGGGCCAAGAGAGGAATGATATGGTGGTTTGGCTGTGTCCACACCCATGTCTCATATAGAATTGCAGCTCCCATAATTCCCACATGTTGTGGGAGGAAGCTGGTGGGAGATAATTGAATCATGGGTGTGGTTTCCCCCATACTGTTCTCATGGTAGTGAATACATCTCACAAGATCTGATAATTTTATTATGGGTTTCCCCTTTCACTTGACTCATTTTTTCTTGCCTGCTGCCATGTAAGATGTGCCTTTCACCTTCCACCACAATTGTGAGGCCTCCCCAGTCATGTGGAACTGTGAGTCCACTAAACCTCTTTTTCTTTATTATCTTTATAATTTACCCAGTTTCAGCTATTTCTTTATCAGCAGAGTCATAACAGACCAATACATCTGTCATCATGAAAACACACAAAAATATGAATTCACTGGTAGAGCAGACACACAAATAAGAAAGAAATAAAAAGACAATCATTGTCACTACAAAAGAATACTAAATTATAAAGGTAAACAATAAAAATGGAGGAAAGAAGAAAGGGAATGGAAAACAATTGGAAAAACTTAACAAAATAACAGAAACAAGACGTTACCAACCAATAACAATACTGAATGCAAGCAATTTAAATTCTGAAGTTAAAAAAATACAGAGTTTCTGGATGGCATGATATAAAAAAAGACCATGTTATATGCTGCCTACAATAAACCCAACTTCATCTGTAGAGATGTACATAGACTGAAGATGAGGGGATGGAAAAAAAATATTCTACACAAACACAAACCAAAAGTGTACAGAAGAAACAATATTTATTTCAGACAAAATAGCCTTTAATCAAAAA